CCCGCTAGGGTGGACACCTGGAGCGGCATCTCCCGGCGAGCGTCGTTTTCACCAGACGGAAACAGGCGCCTGTGTGGGGGGCCCGGCGGCTGGGGTTCGCGTTCCCAGCCCTGGAGCGGCTGCGCCAACCGGCGACCGTAGGTCTCCTCGGGGTGGGTCTCAACCCCAGGGCACTGGCGGCGACGCGCGCGCCCCCTCCCGTCCTGGGAGAGGCGCCCGGGGCTTCTCCGACGCTGGGCGGGGAGAGGGGTGCTGCCCACGCAGAGGCACGCACGGGGGCCTCTGCACGGCCCTGGCTCCCCCTCCGGGCCCGTTGCTCCTCCTGCCCAGGACGGCGCCACCCACCGGCCGGCCGGCCGGGGTCGGCACCGACTCCTCATTTGCGCTTAGTGTCTGCACCGCTCGACTCGGTGGTACCTGCTCAGACTCGAAAGTAGGCCTGAGCTAATTCTAGTAAAATAGCCATGCGAAGCTCAGCCAGGAATTTAATTGTGTTCACTAAATAGCTAATAAATATTTACAACGAACTCATTGCTCCGTAAAATTGAAGACCGCACCTTCCGCAAGCTTCCTGGGCTGCGGGGCAGGGCAGGGGGTGGGGGGAGGGGCAGACAGAAAGACGGGCGGAAGGGAGGAGGCCCCGCCCCCACGTTTTCTCCTTACAGCGTGACCTTGGGCCTCCCCGGGCTTTCTGCGGCGGGAGCCGATCGATGGCCTGAGATCTGAGCTTGAACGTCGGATTCAGAGAGCAAGCTCCGACCAGGCCTCGCTGGTTATGCGCGGGGGGCTGACAACATTTTCGGGAGATGATTTCTAATCAATTGAAAACTTGGCAGTTTTATAGTGTTCGAATCCGAGATCGTCACCACCCTTCCTCGGTCTCACACGTCCGTGGCTGGGTCTTTTTAAATCCGAAATTCGCCACAGGCCGAGTCCTCCTACAAAGACTTGACATTCAGAAAAATCAATGGAAAATCACTAAACCCCTTCAAATGCTACCCTGGAATGCAGTCACAGCTCTTCCCTCCGGACCAGCGCGAGTTTGATCGTAGCAGAATCTAAACGTTTAATACCGAAACCTTTACCCACCAGCCCCCAGAAGTGCTTCGTGAGGGGAAGCTCAGCTCGTCCAAGCCGCTGACTCAGCTGCTCAGCTGTGATTTGAGGATGTGGCAACTGGAGAGATGACCCGGTGACCCTGATTGTTTACCCAAACCCAAAGTTGGGGGCCTCAGAGGTCAGAGCCCCAAGAGCAAAACGCACGGGCTAACGAGTGGGGTGCTGCTCTGAGGAGTCCCCCAGGACCCTCAGGAGCCCCAGAGCTCCTGATTGAGCCCCAGGCCGGACGCGTGGGCTGGGACGCTCCGGCTGTCCGGGGAACAGTGTTGGTTGATGACTCTGCAGTTCAGCGGGGGTAGCGTGCCAGAGGGTCAGAGGGTCAGAGGGCAAGGATGAGATGCATGAGAAAGTTCCTTTTCTTCTCCATCCATGCACGCCTCGAGGACTGGCAGGCCTCTGGATTTCTGTAGAGGGCGCCGTTGGTGCCTGTGCTAGTTAGCTCTGCTGTGTAACAAACAACCCAGAAACTCAGTGACTTAAAGTAACAGTCACGTATTGGCCTGTGATGCCGCCGGTCTCACGCGGGCTCCCTCGCGCGGCTCAGCCGGGGCTGGGTGATTTGGGACGACCCGCCGCACCTCGCCGGCAGAGGAAGGCTCTGGGCCGAAATGCCTTGCTTCTCTTCCACGCAGCCCCTTCGGAGGTGAACCGGAGCTGCTTCCCACGGCCCCGGGGCGCCGCGTGCTGCAAGAGAGCGCCCGCTCCAGCATGCACGCACTTGACAAGCCTCGGCGTGCTTCTCCTTCGCCGGCGTCCCACGGGCCAAAGCCAGGCACGCAGCCAAGCCCAGACTCGAGTGGGGAATAGACTCCCTTTTCAAAATAAAGTTTTATTAAAATACAGTTGGCATAGCCCTGGCTGGCGTAGCTCAGTGGATTGAGTGCGGGCTGTGAACCAAAGTGTCGCAGGTTCGATTCCCAGTCAGGGCACAGGCCTGGGTTGCAGGCCACGGCCCCCAGCCACCGCACATGGATGTTTCTCTGTCTCTCTCTCTATCTCCCTCCCTTCCCTCTCTAAAAAGAAATAAATAAAATCTTTTTAAAAAATACAGTTGGCATGGAGTATTATGTGGGCTTCAGGTGTCCGACACAGTGATTAGACATGACTTAAGTAAGCCGTGGCCACCCCAGCAGATCTGGTACTCCCAGGCACCACACAGGGTCAGCACGCTGTTACTGATCAGTTCCCTGGGCTGGACGCACGTCCCGAGACTGATTTTACGACAGCCACCCGGTCCCCCAGCCCCTCCCTCCGGCGACCATCAGTCTGTTCTCGGCATCCGTAAGTCTGTCTTTGTTCTGTGTGCTCGTGTATTTTGTTTTGCAGACCCCGCCTGTAAGCGGAAGCCCCTAGACTCCTCCCAAAGGGGGCAAAGGGGCCTAGGTGCCGGGCTGGGAGGAGCTGGTGGCCACTCTGGCCCCTACCGCCGAGTGCCCCCGCCGCTCCCCGGCCCCCTCCCTAGGGCAGCGCCTGTCCCCCAGCTGCCCTGACGTTGCTGTGAACGGCTCACTGCCGCCTCCTTCTCCTGGAGAGGGAGGCTCGCACCCCAGACTCTTCCTGCTTGCTGCGTGCACACGGGGTGTGGCGTGGAGCCAGAGGCTGGCTGATTCCAGGATACAAAAGGTTGGCCCCCTTTATTCAGGGCAGGGGGACTCGGGTGTGACTTGTGCTCCTGGGCCCCCAGGCACCGGTCTGGGGCCCAGCTCGCCCGGTTCCCACACCTGGCCTCGGCTAGCTCTCCCCCTCCTGGGCCTGCTTCCCTCCCGCCCTCACTGGCTTTTACTGGAACCCCACCCTCAGCAGACCACACTCTCCCAGACCCTCCTCAGGCCCTGCAGCCGTGGGGGCTGCATTTCCCCAGGGTGGCCCAGCGCTGTGTCCTGTGCCACATGCTTCTCTCCGACATGGCCCGGACACCCCTGTTGAGAGGTGGGGTCTGTGCCCCCTCCCCTTGAACCTGAGCAGACTGATGACTTGCTTGGAACCAACACAGAACAGCAAAAGTGACCCCGTGTGACCTCCAGTGGCAGGTGGCCGAAGCCGGCGCGCGCCGAGGCTGCCCGGTGCTGAGGAAGCCCACACCCGCCCACGTGGAGAGGCGCCCCGCCAGCCCCGCGCCGGTCAGGTCCCACGGTCGCCCAGCTGCACCTGTGGGAGAGGCCCTGCCCGGCTCACCCTGCCCGAATGCCCGACGGACAGAAATCTTGAGAGACCTCGAAGCGATGGCCGCCGTCCGAGGAGCCTCTCGGTCTGGTCCAACGCGCCGTGCAGCGATGGACACGACACACCGATCGGGGGCAGCGTGTCTCCCCATTACCACGGGGACGGGCCAGGAGGGGCTTCCTGGGGACTGGCCAGACCGCTGGTCCCCACTGTCACTCCGCGCACAGGCTCACTCTGTGTGTGTGTGTGTGTGTGTGTGTGTGTGTGTCCGCCGGCCCTGCTAGTTTCATTTCTCTTTCCGCCCCCAGAGCCTCTCAACGTGCCCGGCTCGCAGCCGTGTGGATGAATGTCAGCGAAAGTTCCCGCACATCAGGAGCCCGCGGCTGTGGCCAGACAGGTGCCCCCGGCCGCCCAGTGGGGCCTCCTCCCCGCCGAGCCCGCCTCCCCTGCAGGAGGCAGGAGGGAAACTTCCAGGACGGTAGGCGGCTCTGTGGTTCCCGCTGGACGGGACGGGGGGGGCCGGTTCTAGGTCTGTCCTTGTTGGAGACCCTGGAAACCTGCCCGAAATTTGTGTGGGCCTCCTCCGAGGCCGCCGCTGCCGCCTGCCGGAGCGGGTCGGCGGCCCTGGGCATGCGGCCGGCGGCCAGAGAGGTGGGGCTGTCGAGGGCCAGGCACGTGGGGAGGGCCGGGCAGGAGCTGGCTCCTGGGGCCAGAGCTCGGGGCGAGAAGCAGGTCAGCGGGGCTGGCCCCCGCCCCCGGCCTGCTCTGCAGCCTTGGCTGTACAGCCAGGGCTGGGGGCTGAGCAGTTGTGGGGGAGTGGCACCCTCCGCACCCGGAGGGCTGCGAGTGGTGCGTGTGCGTGTGTGGGGGGGACGGTTGGCAGAGGAGGAGTGGTGGGGGGGATGGGGAGTGGCAGGGAATGGCGGGCGTGTGGGGGGCGGCAGGGCTGGTGGCGAGGACAAGGTGGGTGGCAGGGAGATGGTGAGGCATGGTGGGAGGGCATGATTGTCGGGGGGACATGGGGAGACCCGTGGGGCAGAACGGCGAGGGGCAGGGTGGGTGCGGTAAGGGGTGGGGGTGGAGGGTGGCAAGGAATGGCTTGGGGAACACTCCAGCATTTCCGAGGGCCTCTTCGCTTTGATGCGTGTAGCTGAATGGGTTTTGCCTGATTACAAAAGGCATTAGGAAGCGTATCTTTGGGCTGTCTTGTCTTTCCGGGCAAATGTCAAAGCATTTATGGTGTTATTAGGGTTTCAGGTCTTTCAGCAACCCAGTGGCAGCTGGACCCTTGCACACACGGGTCTGAAAACAGCCTTGGGGAGTGGGTGGCCGCCTGTCTTCACAGCCCGCCCAGGGGTCATGAAGCTGGGGCGGAGGGGAGTGGAAGAGGAAGGAGCAGGGAAGACGCCTTCTAAGAGTCGCTAGCAGGGCCCACGGGCTGGGCTGGGCCCGGCAGCTGCGATGCGCCGCCCCCCCACCTCTGGGCCAGAGCAACTTTGGGGGGTCCACAAGCAGAACGGGGTTGGAGCAGCTCTGGCTCCTCAGCCGTCTGGTGAGCATTGGGGGCGTATGAGCGAATGAATGAAAGAATATTTCCAAGAGCCCTAAGTGGCCGTTATTTTTTACTGATCCTGGGACAAAATTAATCTGAGCTTTAAAGATGAGGAGAACCATGGGGCCAGGCTCTGGACACGGGGGTGGGGGGGCACTCTCTCCGTCCTTTGTTACCTTCTGTTGCCTTTTGGGAAACAAGAGATGTCGCATCCACCTGCCCCGAAGCAGGAAGCAGCGTCCCAGCCCCATCCTGGGCTCCCCCCGCCGCCCCCCGACTTCGAGCAGACCTGTTGGAATTGTGTCCCCAGAGGGCGGCCGGGGGGCACCTCCGTGTCCTTCCTGGGGAAGGGCCTGGGAGCAGCTGCCCGGAAGAGCCCTCTCTGGGGTGGGCCCCGCCGGCAGTTTCTGCGTTCGGAGTTGCAGAATGAGGCGCCCCACCGGGGGAGCAAAATCCCCAGACCCGGCTTCGGGTGTCCGATCTGGGCTCCTGCGCCATCTGTGGGGGAATTTTTTGGTTTGCCTCACACTCAAAAAGAAACAGCAAGGGAGGAAAGACCGTTTCCTGTGCAACACAGCCACGGGGGGCAGTTGCCCCACGCGCCCATGTGCTCGAGGGCCCGAGGGCCCGCCCCGGCAGGGCCTCCCCTCCACGGGGCCCCCCGCGTGAGCTCCCCTGGGTGGACGCGCACCCGGGCTCGTGCCGTTACTACCCCGTGCTGGGGAAGCTCGGCCCCTCAGAGGCTCAGGAGCGGGCCGGGGACGCCTGGGACCTGGGCCACAGGGTCCGCAGAGAGCCCAGGGGGGACGTCCACCCCAGCCCACCGTCCCTTTAATCGTGTCCCCAAGGCTCCTCCGCCCCGGCTGCGGCAAGTACCATACAGCCTGTGTTTAGTAAACTCCTCCCGGGCTGAGGGAGCGTTATTATTCAGGCAGCCTGCTCGTCACAAAGAAAATAGTTACCTGCTGCAAGAAGCCGGCGTCGGTCACCTTAGTGTCAGCACACAGCCCTTTAGGGCCCCCTGGGACAGGAACCTATTATCTGCATCCACCTCGAGAAAGCAGAGGGAGGTTCAAACTCGGTTTGCCGTGAAACATCACCTACCTGCACGGCAAATCCCTCCCAGAGGTGAACGTTCTAGAACAATGGACAGGTTGGGGGTGGGGGCAGGACAGCCTGAGCTCGGGAATCCACCGATTGCTCATCCTTGCCGCCCAGCCCGGAGCGGAGCAGTCCGGCTGTCACAGGTCTAACCAGACCCCTCTTGGCCCGCAGGCGGGACGCCCACGCCAGCTGCCCCTGCGGGAGCTGCCTTGCAGCCCCAGCTCCTCGAAGGAGCGCTGGGCGGGGCCCCCTCCCTCTGCTCACCCACCACCGGCCTGGCTTTCTCGAGAGGCCTTGGGATGCCCAGACGTGGGGAGTCTGGTTCTGGTTCACTTTCTTCCTCCTAGCTCAGTGCACGCACTTCCAGGGACTAAACATGGCCCAGAACCTCAGGCTGCTGGGGCCCCAGCCCAGGCGCAAAGGACGAAGGCAGGGCCGGTTGTCACTCGGCCTGGGGCCGAGGTTCAAACCGCCTGGGGCACAAAGTTTGGAGTCCACTCGTGTGAGCGGTTAGCATAACTTTCTGATTTTGTCGTGCGTCCAGGTCCCTCCTGATGCCATCTTTGCTGTGTTTTAGTGGGAGAAGTTGCCAGCAGGTTTCAGCCCCCGGGAGACCCCCGGGCGATGGTCTTTGTGTGGGGAGGTGTCACCGGAGGGCCTGCTCGTAACACCGACACAGTTACACCCCGGGCGAGGCCCGCTGAAGCCCCCGAACAGTATCCCCCGCAGTGGATGTTTCTCCCTCTGCCCTGGGAAGCCAGCGGGCTTGGCTTTCGGGCCCTGGCACTCGCGGGAGTCGCTCTGATACCTGGGGGCGCCCCTCCCGGAACGGCAGCGAGAGCGGACCATGCAATGCCGCAGACATCCCTGTGAGACGGTTCTTTGTCCAGATAGGCGCCGGCTTGTTGTTCCACGTTGCCATAGGGAACAGAGCTCTGCCTTTGAAATGCAGAGAGAGCCGTGATTGGTTCTCCTCGCTGCCCATCACTGCTGCCCAGCCAGCGCGGTCACTGCAGAGGACCTGACGCCCGCTCCCCAAGCCGGTGCCCGGTCGGGGGCAAACTTCGCGTTGGGCCCTGCGCCCCTGCCCCCCCGTAGCTGGGACAGTTAGGGAAGACCAAGGAGGACGAGGAAGGGGGGGAGAGGCGGAGGCAGGGGCCTCGCCAGCAGAGGGCTCGGCCACAGGTGGTATCTGCATCGGTGCCTTCTGAGAGTTGCTTGGTAATGGCCTTGGCGGAGGATGGGAGTCCTGGCGCGGCCCTCTGACAGGTCTTCCTGAGGTGTCTGCCTCGTTGCTTATTGTAAAATAACCGAAACTAGTTCAGCCTAAGGAATGTTTGGCAAAGCCTTACTTCGGCAACGTCTTAAATAGACCCCTTGCGATATCATCGTGTGAGGCGGTAGGTGGGAGTGGGTCCCCAGCCGACAGCGTCCCGAGCCCGGGGACGTGGACACGGGAGGAGGTGGGCAAACACACAAAGGCCTCGGAGCCTGGGGTGGGGGGTGCAGCTGGGCCCGTGATCCTCTGAGGTCAGGGTTACCACACTTTCCGACCGGCGGGAAGGGGCACCCGGGCTGTGGAAGGGAACGCAGCTCGAGGGAAGGGGGAGCCAGTCTGTGACAGGTCCAGCCCGGAGGCCCGGGGCCGGTGTGCAAGGGCTGGCCTGTCCCCGGACACGGTTGCCTGGTGGATGGCAGCGCCTCTGGTTCTCTGGTCTGAATTCAAAGAGACGGGCCCTTCTAGTGGCCCGAGCCGGGCTGCCCCTGGCCTGGCTGAGCCTGGGTAGCAAGGCCCCACGACTGTGCTGGAGAATGAGCAACTTTGGGGCTGATTGAGGAAGCTCCATCAGCCTGTTCAGACTGTCCAGGGTTCTGGAACGTTCTGTGGGGAAGCCGCAAGAGGAGATGCTGGACTTCCTACCTCTAGTCACATGAGTCATTGGAGGAATACAAGGACTGGCTCCAGCTTGTCATTCTCCCGGAGTCTTTTATTTCTATTTAATTTGTATTGAATGTACTGGAGTGACATGGGTAAACATAATTTTGTGGGTTCCAGGTGCACAGTTCTATAAAGCCTCGTCTGCACACCGAGTTGCGTGTTTGATCCGGGAATCTTGACCAGTCCTGAGGAGAGAAAAATGAGAAGTCTGTGCTGCCTCCTCGGTGTTGACGTGCTGGCTGGCATGGGGACGGGCTCTCGGCTCTGTCCGCCCGGAGCCTCCCAGAGCCAGGCCCTCCGCTGCTCCCGCCTCGCTGGGCCTGGCTGGGTGCAGTCTTAGGCGACGGCGGGGAACCCTGGGTGGCTCCGGGGCTAGAGGGCTGACGCCTCTGGAGAAGTGGGTGCCCCCAGTCCAGGGTGCCGCGTGCCCCAGGAGGCCTGGGGTCACTGGAGGAGGGGCGCAGTCAGGCCAGCTGAGAACTCTGGGAGCTCTCAGCACATTGGCCGCCCTGCTCACACTTGACCACGACCCAGCCTGGCTGCAAGGAGAGGAAGTCCAGCCAGACCGGGGCTGAGCCGACCCCCTCTCAGTAGAAAGAGCAGTGGCCCAGGTAGCCTGGGTCACCTTCAGTCCCACCCTCCTGCGTGTTTGTGTGAGAGACGGCACACGTGTGAGTGTGTGCGTGTGTGCTGGCGCGCGTGCGGATGTGTGTATGAATGAGAGAGCACGTGAGCATGTCTAAGCGAGCGTGCCTGATAGTGCCCCCAAGTGCCTGTGTGTGTGAACAAGTGTGTGTGACAGTGCATAAGAATGTTTGAGAATGTGTGCGTGTGTGTGGCTGTGTAAGAATGTCCAAGGCTGTGTGTGTGTGAGCCTGAGAACACATGTGAATGCGGTGCCCGTGAGTGTGTGTGAGTAGCCATGAGTGTGCCAGTGTGGCCGTGTGAGTGTGAGGGAGGGCGGCTGCCCTGGTGAACCGGGTGACGCCATCGCTCCCGACCGCGAGGAAACCTGCACCTCTCGAGCCCCACGCGGCCTGCGTGGCTTTTTGACCCGGAAAGGGGGACGCCCGGGCGCGCGGCGGCCGGGGGCGGGGACCACGGCGGGGGCCGCGCTGAGCTGGGGGGCGGGGCGCGCGGCGGCGGGCGGGGCCGCGGGGGGCGGCCTCGGGCGCCCCCGCCCCCGCCGCCGTTGCTAAGGCCGGCCCGCGGGCGCGGCGCGGAGGGCCTTAGCAACCGGGCGCGGGCGCGCGCGGGCGCGCGGGCGCGTGGGCCGAGCCGCCGCTGCGGCTCCCACGCGCGCGGGCGGGGCGGGGGCGGGGGCGGGGCGCGCGCGCCCCGGGCGCGCTCCGGCGGCCGGCGGGGATTTCCAGCGCGCGAGAGGAAGTGCTGCGAGAGGGAGCGTGAGGGCGCGAGGGAGCGCGGCGCGGCCGGGCGCCGCGTGCGCGAGCCGGGTTGCAGCCCAGCAGGGACTTTCCAGCCGGCGGCGGCGGCGGCCGCCGGCCCTTCCCCGCCCCCCGACATGGGGCTGCCCGGGGAGCAGGACGCTGCGGACCGCGGCGGAGGACGCGCCCGGAGCCCCTGAGCCGGCGAGCGGCGGCGGACCGCGGGTAAGGGGCGGCGGCGGCGAGCGGGCGGGCCCGGCGGGGCTATCTTGGGGCTCCATCCCGCGCCCTCGGCGGCGGCGCGGGGCCGGAGCGGCGCAGGCCCGGCGCCGGGCGGCCGGTGCCCGGTGCGGCGCCGCCTCGCCCCGATCCCCGCCGGCCCGCCCGCCTCCCGGACGCCTCAACTTCGGGAAACTTTGTGCCCGGGGCCAGGCCCGGGGCCGGGGCTCCGTAGCTTTTCAGGAAACGGGGCGCCCAGGCCTCTTGCGAACGTGACCCTCCTCGGGGCGGCGAGAAAGCAGCATCTGCTGCGCGGCGGGCGGGCGTCCGTCCCGGGAGAAGCCGGCTGGCTCGGTGTCCGCACGGACGGGCGTGCTCGCTCCGGGCCGGCGGCGTGTCTCTTTTCGAACCATTATTTAAAAGTTTATACTGAGTCATTCCTCTGCAGATGAGCCTCCGACTGATTCATAGTCCGAGCTGCAGTGGCCTGGCGGCGGGCGGGCCCGGGCCCCCGTTTGGGGCAGAAAGCACGCATTCCACCTTCGCTGACGCGGAAGGTCAGAACGGGCGCCCTGGGCCGAGCGCTGCGCCGCCGGCCGGGGGCGAATTCCGCCCGCAGGCGCCGGGCTGCCGCTCGCGCGCTCCGCCGCCTGCCCGCCGTCGCCCCGCGGGGACCGCGCTCTGATGTGCAGCCCTGGGGGGAGAATCCTGTGCGGGAGAGGCTTTACCTTTGGCTGGGAAGCGTAGCACGACATGGAAACGGATGGGGCGCTGTGGACGTGCTCTGAAATTTAAGAAGCCTTCGGTTCCCGGGCCGCCGGAGGAGACAGTTTTATGTCACGTTTTTCGCGTGAGGCTGTGAATCAGATTTCCGAATGACACGGGGCTGTGTGTGTGTGTGTGTGTGTGTGAGAGAGAGAGTGAGTGTGCGCCCTGTGCGTGTACTCCTGCGGAGTCATAAGGGCCGTATCGAGCAGCGTTGTCGCTGCTCCTTGATTTACATTCACGGCACGCCACTGAGGAGGAGCCATAATTTTTTTTTCCCTCTGGCGTTTGCGGCGAGCACACACGGGTGAAGCTTTTGGACATGTTGTGCTCTGTCCCCTGTGTGTCCGTGAAATCCTCCCGTGTGACCCCGGGGGGCCAGCAGTTGGTGCTGAAGCCTCCCCATGTCTTTGGAAATGGCCCGGGGACAGGACTGCATCCTGGGCAGGAGTCTGGCCTCAGCGAGGACAGCCATTGGCTCTCCCAGCGGGAGCGGGGGTCTGCCTGGCCCCTGTCTTGTGACCAGGTGTGCATTCGGAATCAGTAGGGAGACAACAGATTCTCGGGCCAATGCAAAATAAGGCTCCCCAGTGTGAGAACTGGGGAATGCCCTGCAGGGTCGGGCGCCCTCGCGAGAGCGGGTGCAGGTGGCAGGAGCGCGGCTGGGGAGTCCTGCATCCCTCCCGCAGATCAGACCTCAGCCCCGTGAGGTCTGCGACGTGAGGTGTCTCTCCCAGACGCCATCCCTGCCAGCTGTCACAATGCAGGAGTCAGGCACACAGGGGGAGCTGGCAGGGAGAATTCCAGACTTTTTTTTTTTTTTAAAGACACTCATGTGGATTTTTCTGTGAGGCGGAAGGAAGGCGGGCTATTTTCCTTGGACACTGCCCATTCATTTTGGAATTAATAAGATGGCCTCACTCAGTGGGAAGGGTGTGCAGACGCTGCACGGGCGCCAGGCAGGCTGCAGCGGCCCGCTGCTCTGGCGAGACGATATTCCCACACAGCATCCCCGCTGTTGCTCGTGCCCGGAACGAGGTCCTTCCCGTAATGGAAGCATCTCAGTTGCTTCTCGCCGCTTCCCCGTGTTTGGGATTTTGACTCTGTTTGCAGGGTCCCTTTCGTTTTTGACTCTGCAGGTGCAGAGGGGCCTTCCTGGGGGGTGGTCCGCGTAGCTACGCTAGTGAGCCGAAGGGTGAAAACGGTTTACCCCTCCGAAGCCCTTTTCTCGGACGATGTTAAAGCTGCATGCACTTGAAGAAAGGTAAAACCGTCATCTCGGTGTTGCAAGCCTGGGCCAGCCGGAGCACACAAAGGAAATTGCGTTAAATTCGGCCATCTCTGCTCTCCCCTTCTCCAGTGAGCCCCGCGCAGCAGCGAGCCCTCCAACCTGTCAGGTGTTACGCAACAGCCCAGGCTCCTCGCAGTGGTCAGCTTGAGAGCTGGAACTTAGCGGAGGGGACATCTCATGACCGAGGTCCCCCACGTGGGTTCTGTGGGGTCGGGACCCCTGGGGTGCTTCTTCCCAGGGGCTCACAGAGGAAGGAGGATCCTCTGGGGGTGGGGTCAGGAGAGGCATCCTATTGACTGAAGATACAGGGAGAAACTGGGAAGAGAGCTGCGGAGGCGGGGGGGGGGGGAGGCGGGGAGGCCTGTGGATTTAGGAGGCGGCCAGAGAGAGGCAGCCGAGGCCTGAATGTGGAGAGGATGCTTGGACCGGCGCCGGGCGGGCGGGACGGAGCCAGAGGGCCGCAGGGGGACGCACGCGGACGGTGCGGCCTGCTGTGCGCCCGCCGTGGGCCCAGGGGAGCTGACGGAAGTCGAAGGAAGTACAATTTTGTTTTTTTTATATTTTATTTTTTTAAAAGATTTTATTCGTTTGTTTATTTTTAGAGAGAGGGGAAGGGAAGGAGAAAGGGAGAGAAACATCAGAGTGTGGCTGCCTCTTGTGCACCCCCAACCGGGGGCCTGGCCCACAACCCAGGGATGTGCCCTGACTGGGAATCGAACTGGCGACCCTTTGGTTCACAGGCGGGTGCTCAATCCACGGAGCCACACCAGCCAGGGCAGGCAATGCAGTTTTAAACTAGAAAAGGAAGAAACGTAAGAAAACATTGTGTGTGTTTGGGTAATATCTATTATTCCTAACTAGCTGAAAAATGCAAACCAGCCTTCTCATGTTAGAGAGCCTTCACTGACTGCGTTCTGCATGGCGCCGATCTGGACGTGCTGGGTGCTGGGTGCTGGGCGCTGGGAACCGACCAGCCTGGGCCGGGGGGAGGGGAGGTGTGTATGGGGGAGCATCGGAACCCACCCTCGGCCGGGCTCTCCTGGCTCCCGGTGCGGATGCGGTGGGCCGAGGGGGGCGGGGGGGGGGGAGGCGAGGCGGCGTGAGCGCGGCTGACTCCCGGTTCCTGTCGACGGCGGGCGTCAGGCTGGAATCTCTTCCCGTGCTCTCATTCCTCGAGACAAGTGGATCGTTAGCTGGGACTTGGGAGTCTTTTTCTCATTTAATTTAATGCTCAATTAATGTGCCTCGAGTTTCCCTGATGTTCCGGTTACAGTGCCAGGATGACTGAGGGGTGCCGCCTGCCTTCCAAGGCGTGGCCTGCCCACGTCTGGGCATCTGGGCCCCTGTGCTCGGGGAGGGGGTGCGGGACCGGCAGGGAGGGGGTGTGGGACCCTCGGGGAGTGACCGGGCCAGCACCAGGGTGGGGACGAGGGAGAGTTCGCCGCCCTGCGCCCGGCCAGACCGTGAAGACCCCCAGAGAGAAAGTCCGGCGTCTCGGGGCGTCGCAGGCTGCCGTGCAGCAGCGGGTTGTGTGGGAGCCTGGGGGGCTGGGGCCCGGGCAGGGGAGGGACAGCTCCGGCTGGCCTGGGCCTTGGGGGGGCTCCCAGGAAGGGGCACGGGGAGGGCGCTGAGAACAGCAGCCCCCACCAGGCCCCTCGGTGCTTCCGAACCTCGGGACCCGGCCGCTTGCCGCCCTGCTGCTGCTGCTGCTGCTGCTGCTGCTCCGTGGGCGCCCAGGTGCCGCCGCCGTGGGCTTCTCTGTCTCCTCCCAGGCCCTTGGGGACCGGGAGCTCCGGTGGGTCAGGCGATCTGCCCCCGGGGGAGGGGCCGGTCTGCCCCACGGAGGGGCCGGTCCACGGTGGGGACCCCAGCAGCCGGCCCCACCCTGGGTGGAGCTCCCCGCTGCCCCGGCTGTTCCTCCGCGTAGGCAGGGCGTCCCAAAGAAGGGTGGGGGTGTAAATGGAGAAAAAGCCCTTCGCCCAGGGACTCCCCCCAGAATGACCCAAACCTCTTTAGTTCTCGAGAAGCGAACAGTCGGGCCCAGTGACTTCCTCCCGTGGCTGACCTGGAGGGTCTGCTCCCTGCTGACCGACCGCGATGCTGCGTGTTGTTAAGGGCAGAGTGTCGGCCACGTCCCGCGATGCCACCCGCCGGGAGAGACGCCATGCGTGCCGCTCTGACGGCCCGGTGTCCTTCCCAGTGTGAGCGCGCGGCTCCGCGGCGGAGCCTGAGAGCCCGTCTGTCGGGAACTCGGGTTCTGTGGGTGGAGCGACGAGCACCCTTGGCTGATGGGGGGGGGGGCGCCGCGGGTTCTGTTGCGGGGGGAGCCGGCCTCCCGGCGTCTCTGCGCCGCGCTGGAGGAGGAAGGGCCGTCGGGGGCCGCACGTGAAGTATGTTGCGATGCACAATCACACAAAAAAAACCTCATGGTGTTTTGCGTGCGTGTTCGGTTTTGTGTCGGGCCCCCTGGGCTGCACGCGGCCTGTGGGCCGCGGGGCGGGCGCCCTGCGTTAGGGCAGCAGCAGCACGGAAGCGGTGACCCCCGAGCGCCTCGGTGTCACCGGTGTCGCCGTGCCTGAGCGAAGTTCCCAGAGTCGGCGCTTGTGCTCTGGAAGGGGGACATCCCGTCGGAGGCCTGTGTGCACCAGCGGGAGTGAGTGAGGTGCGGGCCGGGCTCCTGCCCTCCCCCAGGGCCGGGCTGGGCAGAGCCTCCCTCAGCGTGTGTGCCCGGCGCCTGCCGGTGTGGGGTCCGGGGCCCCGGGGCAGCTGGCACAGCGCGGTCCCACGTAGTTGGGCGCGGGCCGCTGGGCGAGCCGCGGGCCTTGTGGCTGCCGCCTTGACTGCGCCCGCGCCGTCCGGCCCCCTTCTGACCGTGGGGAGCGCCCTGGCTGGGTGCCCTCGGGGCCGGGATGATGGGAGACTTTCTTTGACACTGTGGCTTTCCTGGGTG